GTCCCTCCCCGGTGCCCGCTCGCCGCCGCAGCGGGAGGGAAACGCGTGTGGTGGGGACACGCGTGTGGGGACACCCGCGGCCGTTCCCCGGCTGGCAGGCGCGGCGAGAGTACACCAGCTCGATGCCTGTGGCTATCGGGGATTTCTTTCCGTCTCCGTATCTGTCGGTTTGCCTATGCCGTGTTTACGCTGATGAGAATGGCGTGTGTCAGTTATATAACATGGCACACTGCAAATGTCTGGAGAGACAATTTTGTCACAAACAGTATTAAGGAAAGAATGTTCTGGTGTGTGTTTACATGTCCACTTTTTCACGGTGAAAGCGGCTTTGAAAATTTCTGGATGGACTTTATTTTGTGTGTGGGCTTGGCCTTTGTGCTTCTTCTGAATCACAGAAAGGGCACATGTGGTTTTTGTGGAGAACATGTTGGCATGGGTTTGCAAAACCCCCTCTTGACTGGTTCAGGTGAGAGTATTAACTTTTTGAGTCAGACCATATTCTTCTAAGAAGTAAAGGCCAAAGGAGATCTCATTGTGTTTTCAAGTTAAAGAAAAACTCTGACATTTGGATGCTTTCTGTGTTTTTCAACTTCATATTGCTGTTAGGCAAGTCAGATTTTAAGAGGGTATGTTGCTTTGATCTTCTGATATAGCCATGTTTAAAACATTTTCATCGCAAACCAATTCAGAAAATGTTCTAAGTGACAGCAATTTGTCATTCTCCTCTATTTGCACCAAAACAAGCGCAGGTTATTAATCTCTATTCAGTTCTGGGTAGAAAAGTTAAGTTTGGAAGAAAAAACCTTTATTTCACAGGGTCCACTTTTATATCACTCTCTGCCTCCTGGGCTGTGGTTTGTGGTCCATCTTCTTCCAGTTTTCCTCCTGTGTTTGTCTTTCACTTACTAGCCCAGCCAGTGCTCTGTTCCTCTGGGCAGCATCTCCAGCCCACCCAGGCATGGAGGCGATGCGGCTCCACGCGGGCAGTGCTGCACCAGTTGGATTGCGCTTAGCTCTGACCTTCTCATTGCACCCGTGTTGGTGTGGGAAGGGCTCTGCAGGATGTGGAGGGCAGCAAGCTGGGCTTGGGGCCACAGCAAAGAGGGCCAGGCGCAGCCTGGGCTGCCCAAAAATCAAGGGAAGTGACTATCCCACTCTGTTCAGTGCTCATTAGATCTCATCAAGGTACTGTGTCCCCTTTTGGGACTACCAGGGCAGGAAAGATGTGAACCAGCCAGGGCAAGTTCATGGGAGGCCTCGGGATGGCCAGAGCTGAGGAGCACCCCAGGGAGCAGGGCTTGCTTAGCCCGGGAAGGGCCCTGAATGGCTGCCTGCATCTACCCATGAGAAGGTTGCTGAGGCCAGGCAGCCTGGCTCTTCACAGGAGTGCATGAGACAACGTGCCTAAGTGGAAACAAGAGGCTCAGAGTTGGATATCAAGAAGAACTTTCCTCCCTGAGGCAGGCTTCCAGGGCAGGCTATGCAGGCTTCATCCTGGGAGGTGTCAAGCCCCATCTGGACAGAGCCCTGATCAGCTTGGTCTGGCCTGGAGCTAACCCTGACCTGAGCAGGAGACCACACTAGAGACCTCCCGAGGTCTCGTCCAACCTGAATTATCCTGTGTTCCAGTGATTTATATCTTCATTTGTCTCTGCCCATTTACTTTCTCCCATATACAAGTTACTTTTTTCCTCTCACCTTTTCCCTTTTCCATTAACCTTATTTAACCAGCAGACTGTATTACTCTGTTGAAGTTTTATATGAGCCCCACTGGCAGCTGGAAGCTGTGTCACAGCAAAAAAGCTGCATAGGGAAGCAACAAGTGCCCAATGGTACAGCAAGATTTTCGTCAAGAGAGGAGTAAGGAGGCACCATAGAGCAGCAGGCAACTGCTGGCAGCAACCCCAGTGGGAAGTGAGTGCAGGTCCCTGATCAGACATGTCTCTGCTGAGTCAGGAGAACTCCTGCTATCTGTCTGGGATAGTCAGGACCCTTGATCACTGCAAGGAAAGACTTGAAACTGGGGAAAATGAGTAGAAACAAAGCTTCTGAAACTCTGGATAAAGTGAGATATGGACTGAAGCTGTTGGCTTCAATGTACCAAATTCTTCTCATATATGTGTGATTTAAATAATGAATAAAATTTTATTTATGTATTTATTTTCCTCTGGCAAAAAGCAGAGGGAAGGAAACTCAGAAGCCAAGTTTTTACTTAGTCATGTTGTCTCAAAGGATAAAACTGAAAAATTAATTTAGAATTGTTTATTGTTTTATCCCATTTTGAAACTATATTTGTCTTTTCTTTTGCCTGTATAGCTTAATGATATTTGTCAAACATTTTAAGATTATAGATGAAATCCTGAAACCCTTGAAGAAACAAGAATTTCGTTGTTGGCTTCTATGGAGTCTTTTTCTTCCCTGTAACATTAGGAGGCATCCTGGTTTGACCTTGATCAATACTCTGTTACGGAAATAGGCTGATAGGTATTCGTACTGGAAGTTTAAATTCTTAGTAGAATGGCTTTGTCAGTACAGTAATAAATAAATCTTACTGTCTTTGTTGTAGAGGATTTTACCCCAGTTCCATATAAGGCTCCACCACCTCCAAAAACAGAAAAATCATTTCCTCCTTATACTGGATTTGGTTCTGAAGAAGATTCTCTCTGCTCCTGTATGGGTCTGCTTCTCAAGCCTCCTCAAAAAGATTTCAAGAAATTCATGGAGAAAGACAGGTATTTCAGTGAAAAATAATTCCAACTTTAAAAATTATGTCTTTTTTGTGAAGGAGATAAATGTTAAGTAGGGATGTAATTTTTTCAGCAAAATATGCAGCTCATCAGACTTCTAAGGGACAGGTACAGAAGAACTGTTTTAGTGACATGGTACTCCAGTTTTCTCTGAACTCAGCAAAATTTCTCTTTTGAGAAGGCAAATATTCTCACCCCTCCTATCCCCAACTTCTTCCCTTCTGCTGTCCTCAGTGGGAGCTTGATGGAAGTCTTAGTCTAGGATTAGTCAGTAATTTTGTATGCTTCAGCAGTCCAACACTGATTTGTTTTTTTTTGTTTGACTTTCTGCCATTTATTTTTTTGTCTGCTGAAGGTAATGTAGTTTCCTGTAGCAGTATGAAAGCATTAACCCTTTACTTTCCATTATGAAACAGTTTGTCAGGCAGTGGTTGTTGAAGCCTAAGCAGAAAGCAAAGTCACATGCTAGAGATCCACCTGTAGAACCTCCGTAAAAGAAGAAAGCTACTAGAAAAAGGCTTGGGAATGTATTGATCATGCATATAGCAGTATTGTAAATAATTTAAAACACAATCACTTAATAAATATCCAACTAGTAAGATCATCTAGTGGACCTGATTTTGTGGAGATAATCCCAATATGTATTACTATTCAGAATTTGATTCAAAAGTATGTATACCAAAGTGTGTTCTTCCTTTATAAATTTTTTGGAAGGAAACTTGGAGCTTGATTTGCAACTGAATTTGAATACAAATTCATTCCAGACCTGTGTCAGAGAAGTAATTTTCCCCTGAAAATGCTTCTTTTCTATCTGGCTGACTCTAGTTGGTTCTGTTAATTTAAGCTGAAAATGGTTTTTGACAAAGTAGGGAACCTTATGCTGTTCCCATGCTCGGTCCAGGAATAACACAATTAATGTATGTTACAAAACTCAGGAGAATGTATGTCTTAGTGATGAAAACTTTTCTCATACTCTTTTTTATTTCTTACCTCTTCTTTCACTTTTTAGAAATGGCATGGAAAGTAACATACTGCGCTTTGTTGCAAAACTCGTCACAGATAGTCCTATTGACAAGGATCGCAAATTCATTATTTCCTATTTCCTAAGTGATGACACCATTTCAGTTTTTGAACATATACAGAAAAACACAGGTAAGATGCAGCAATGTCTTGCAATCAGTCCCAGCTGCCTTGCTCATTTGATTAGAGTATACAGCAAGCATTGTGGCCAGACTCGGCACTACCAGAAGCAGGGATGTGGATTTTTAAATGCAATGGGAATTACATCATCAGGTCTACTGCATTATCTTACATAGCTGTATGTCACAGTAATTTATAATCTTCATCACTCAAAATAATGCTGTTCGTTGTATGACAGTTCTTCGCAGGATCCATGGGGAACTGAAAGTTTAATGCATTAGAACTTTTATTACATTTTAATTTGCAAATATGGCTTTAAACATTTGCTTTTGTTGTGGGTAATATACAGGAATTGTATTGAAGCTGATGATAAATAGGGACAGGAAATGTAAGACATCAAAAATGAAAGAGTAAATCCTTTGTTTTCCAAGATTGTGTTATAGCGTTATAATATCTATATTGCATCCATCGCATAGAAGCAGCTCATTAAAGCAAAACAGCTGTGATTTTTTAAACATAGTTTATCATTAATCATGTAGTGTTGAGCATATAAAGAGTGAAGATTGCCCTGCACTAGTGTCTGTAAGTGTGTGTGTGTGTGTGTGTGTGTGTATAACACTGAACTGAGTTTCAAGAGCCAGACTACCAATGTTTAAGTGACAAATGCTTTGTTATTTTTCAGTTGCTTGATCACATTTATCCATTGCTGGAGCATGGTCACCCAGTGTTATCATGGTTATATTCTTTTGAGCAGTGTTGTCCTTTGTAGACTGCCTCCAGCTGAGGATATGAAAGGTCTTGTGATTTCCAAGCTTCTTTTTATTTCCTTGAAGGGTCTTGCACACAGATTGAAGGACACAGCACTAGGAAGGATATAAGGAAGTAATTCGGTAACTTGGAGAGATAGGGAATCTTGGTTAAGCATGATCCTTTTGGAGAGATCAGTGTATTTCTGTGAAGCCCACAAAACATCTGTGGCAATGGTTTCAGAACAGTTAACGTCCAGAAGTGTCTGGCACCTCTCAACATGTGCAGTCGAAGAACTGACTTAAAAGCTGCTGTCAGCCTCTGATAAAGCTATAGAGAGAAAAAATTCAGGAAATCACTTTCTATCAAAGACAAGAGAAAAAAAGAGTAATAGAAGGTTTCCTTAGTTACCATGTTGGGCTCTTGTGGAACCTCATTACTAGCTCTTTTGGTACTGCTTGAATTGCCCTTTATCAGTAGCCAGTCGTGTCCTGGGCTGCATCAAAAGAAGCATTAGCAGCAGGTCGAAGGAGGTGATTCTCCCCCTCTACTCTGCTCTTGTGA